GCGAAACTTCTCAGCTATATCAAAAGTGTTCACTGTAATTTATAATAATGACCGCGTATTCCATATGATAATGGTCCTACAATGGCATTACAGTTACGAAGGCGCCATTATTAAGATGGAAAAGAAATACAAATTTGACAAAATAGTCACAAACGAGAGCATTTTCACAATCTAAATATAACTAGATATGCAATGATTATCATGTACCAACGTCAACGCAATCACATTTCTCCACATCAAACACTTGGCAATATGGGCATTGGTTACTTTCTACAGGTCCATTAGGTAAAACCTTGCATTGGTATCCCCTTCCACCAATTGGCCAATACCATTTCCCATTTTTGCAACATTTTCCGGGAGGACATTCTGAAAAGTAAAGAAGACACAGCATTAACATGACGATGTCACGAAAAGGTATTAATTAACAGGTTTGTGCCTCCGCGTTTTATCGTTTATTGGATGTCGTTCCTTGAAATTGGTTCTGTTTAGATTGTAATCTAGAATGTCTAAAATATAATGTGCATATTTATAAACGTATGGATTAAAAGCGAAGTGTAAGCTTACGCAATACGTTTGTAAAAATGGAGTTCCTATGGTTAACAATGCTAGTATGTAAGAAGGCGAATTCTTAAGTCAAATGTCGAATCAGAAAAATAAAATGTTGAAATAATGAAATGTTGCTATATGAAAAACATTTTACAAGAAATTCATATATCAATATTTACGCGTAATGCTAAGTTACATTATAATTGTTTTTAATGTGGAAAGTGAAAAATGATCCAAGGGCATCTTAATGAGTATTTAAGGAAGATGCCACTTATCACTGCATCATTTCGAAAAAATGTACTTTATTTCGTAAATAATGTTAAATTGTACCTAGGACACATCTTGGTGGATCGTAATTATATTTTCCGGTCACCAAACATATGATCTCAGCATATTCTACAAGTTTATATCCTTCGTTACAAGCAAACTTAGTTCTGACATCACAATTCCTGTCAGCGTATAGTATGTAACCATTATGAGGGGCTTGAACCGTTGGACATCTTATTTCTAAAAATAACCAGGACAAAGGCATATTTCAATGTAAGTCTGATAAGTAAACTAGTTTCTTGAATTGTTCACAATTATTTTGTGAACAGACTATCAAGTACGTTCTACGTTAAGATATATATTATGTCTGAAAAGCCTACTTCCACAAGTCGGAACGGGATCATCCCAGTGACCAGTAGGATTACACTTAAAATCATCATCGCCCCATACAATCTCGTAACATCTGTCGCATTTGTATGTGATAACTTCTCCTGGATAATACGGTTCTGTATCACTGTCCGCACACCTATATCCATTGGCTGGTGCATATGGCAAAGGAGCCTCGCACAATATCACTATAAACAGTTAAGGTAAAAATGTCAACTCTTTTTTCATAGGAAGATTAAAATACTAATCAATTGGACAGAATAGAGAGAGTTGAAAATTAGTTTGATCGTGCAGTTTTTAATTTTTAGAAGTATGTGGATGTAATTTACGTACCGCAAGGATCTATGTTGCATGGCACGCTGATTATTTTATGCTCATCTCATTCGCATTTGTCATTAGGGTCATGGCTGATTTGTTTAGTGCGTGTTCCTCGTTTTCTTCTATATCCCCCTCCGCATGGTTTAGAGCACTGATCTATGTATTCCCAATCACCAAATGGTGACCATTTGCAACCTGTAGCTATTTAAACACAAATATGTTACATGAATTGAATTTTCATTTTTAAAAACACAATTAATACAATATATTCCTATAATGAGGAGATGAGAAGGCAAATGCGTTTACTAAAAAAAGAATATTAACAATTTACACGAACCCATTATTGTATATAGATCAAGTATAAATACTGAGGTGTACAAATATACTTTATGAGAACACGAATTGTAGTTTTTTATAAAAAATAATATCAACATTTTTTCAGCGTTGTCTCAAAATGAAACTGATGCACAAAATCTAATTTTGCAAATATAATACTAGTAGCTTGAATGTTTGGAAATTTGTGAACCTCGTTTCTTATTTACCAGGTTTAACACAGCCACATTTCTTCAAGTCAAACACTTCACCATATGGGCATTGTTTACTTTCTATATCTCCATCAGGTAAAACTTTGCATTGATAGTGCCTTCCACCAACTGGCCAATACAATTTCCCGTATTTACAACACTTGCCATAAGGACACCCTGAAAATGAAATAAAAAAAACATCGTTGACTACATTTCACCACCAAATTGGCACTAGATATTCTAATCTCCACGCTCAAACCGTAGTCTAATGGCGCCAAGACATGGTATTGGTTATTAAAAAACATGCACAGTTTACGAGCTACTAACTACATAGGCTATCGGCGATAGAAATCATTTTTAAATAAAGATGGCATGGTAATCGATCTGTGTTTATCTATGTTTCTCATACTGGATTCTGGTGGTGCTATCATCTTTATATCGGTCCAGAACCTATGGAAATATCCAAACTAAAATATATTTTGACACTGGTCGATGATCATTGAATTCCCCCTGCCCTAATTGTTGCACCTATAAAGGGGCAACAAGGACTGTAGAGAAAAATTCTTAAAGTGCTTAACATCTTCTTTGACATACCTATTTTCCTAAAACATATGGATAAACTATCAATGTCAGCGTTAAGAAGTTTAAATTCAGTTCAAAGCTTCTATAAAAGGAGTCCCACTTATAAATTTTTAAGATCAATCATGTTTCAAGAGGAATGTCAGCTAAAATGATATTCATCCAGAGGGTTTCTTTGAAGATAATAAAAATATATGTTAAACTTGATGAAATATCCAAACTTAAATATATTTTGACGCTGGTCGATGATCGTTAAATGCCCCCCCCCCCCCCTGCACCAATTGTTGCACCTTCAAATCAGAGATGCCCAAGATAAAATTAAATGACAATTGTTTACTTAACTTATTGTTTTTCCAGATGCATAGTAAACGACAGGTCTCGATGGGGACGTTGTACAACGCAATACATGGAATAACAAGATGCAGGCTGGACGATATATCAAACCAATTGTGGTCGGTTATCCTAACAATACTGTATTAAGAGAGAATATACCCTTCCTTTTGATATATCAAAAAAATGTTGATATATTGGCTAAATTGATGATTACATTGGTTGTAAGGATATTGTGGATGTTTATCCATGCAAAACATGATTGACTTATTGGTAATTTCAAAAATACAACCTATGACATGATCTAGCTAATGTATCAAAATTTCTCTGATTTACCAAAAGGTGGCAGGATTTATCGGAACTATCTATTATTAAAAATCTACCTTTCCAAAACATCGATACACCGTCTAAGGTGTGCATGATGCTGTCCAATGTGTATTATATTGTAAACTATTCAAAAAATATCTAGTTATTACAATATCAAACAATTTTTAGTAGAAGTTTTGAATAGTTAGCTTTTTTCTAAAACACAAGTCAAAGTTGAAGAAAAGAAATGTATTTGGAATTATTATTTGATAACATAATCAAATTGTAAATGCCTACACAAGGTATACATAAAATGTATACGGGGTGGGGGCAATGCCCAAGTTTAAAGATGAATTTCAGATGATATATTAAAATCATTCCATGTACAGGATGACCCCAAAAAAATGCAACCCTCCATTTCTTCAATATGTGATCAATGTTGGATCAATTTGGCATCGTTTTAATAATCAAGAACATACAAGGACAGTGGTTCCAGAATGATGGAGCTACTCCTCACACTTCTAATGATAGCATAGCCTGGCTCACTAGTCATTTCTATGAGAAGATTATCTCTCCTAGGACGGAGAACCTATGGTCCTCCCACAATCCTGATCTCAATGCCCCTGACTTCTATCTATGGGGTTATTTGAACAGTTAAATGATAATGTGTATGAAAATAACCCTACCACAATTGCAGAACTCTCACCAGAAACGGCTGCAAAATTTTGAGCCTTACCCATGGGGAAGAATGCATCCGTGTTATGAACAGTTTTGCTTGAACACTCCAAGTTTGTTTTCAGCGAAATTGACGACATATGGAGCATATTTTGAAACAACCATAACTCTATCAATAGATTCAGAAGCTTTAATTATCATATTATTTGTTCTAATCTAACTTATCAGGTTCATCATGAATTGTTTTAGTTCACATTGCATATAAAACAGTATAATTGTAACTCTTTATAAATCAAATGTAAATACATATATACAAAATAAAAGTATGTGTAACAATTACATATTATGCATTTAATACCACTTCTTCGATAATTTTATTGTCATCAATATTCGATACATGTATTAATCGGAGATGTTGGTGGGTTTACTGACCGATTGAGCGTCAATGAAACCAAAGAAATGGGAAAAAACCGAAGTGCAAAGCTAATTTCGGCGTTTTTCCAAACATTTCAAAATACATGCTGAGATATCTGCCTTTACCATTGTAATGGTTTCCGGTGTGTTGTATGCGGGTTAAGGAACAAATGTTATTAATGACCTGTTTTCTGTTGAGTTATGCCATGATTTGAAACCATGCGATTGGACAAGCTAAAAGTAAAATGTATGTCATGCGCATTGGTATACGGCTATTTTGCAGGTGCAGGGAAAAAATCAACTTGTTAATTCTTGTGAAAAGATTTTATCCCCCTTCATCAAGAGGCAAAGATGTTTTTATATTTTCCTTTTTAAGTTCTGCCCTGCGTTATCAAGGTTTTTGAGTTGTTGGCATCCACCTTTTGACATTCTTCATAAAACATACATAATATACGTACGATCGTCAAATTTATTTGCAGAAAAATGTCATATTGGCATTTACACGACTTTATTTAGAAGACTTTATTGATCCTTTTTAAAACAGGTCGTCATCTCAATATGTCGTCTTACTGCTTGATCACCATATACATGATATCCAAATAAAGTGTAAGTATTATGGTTTTGAGAATCTTATCATTTATAGAATTGATACCACGCACGATCAAGTGTATATATTCGTTATCAACGATATCGTCGAACAAACGAAGTACTATGAAGTAGTTCAAATGGACCTCGTCTAGGAGTAAACAAAATGTTTCTTAATCGTAAGCCGAAATGTGCAGTACTTCAATGTGTACTCATACTCACGAGTATACTATTTCTTGGATTCGTTCTAATCAAATCGCAGTTCAATCTTGCCTTGACGGATAAAAACATTCCGGCAAAGGATAAGATTGAATTTGAAAATAACGGACGCCATTTGTACAAAAGAAGTGGACTTAGATTTAACTTTGAAACAAATAACTTGGACCTGAGGATAATAGTGATAACCTATAATCGTCCCATGTCACTGCTTCGATGCCTTAACTCTCTAAATGACGCTGATTATGTTGGTCATCGGGTCAAGTTAGATATATTCATAGACCGATCGTCGAAATCTAAAAAAGTTGACCAAGAAACATATTCGATTGCGAAGGCGTTTTCCTTTTTGCATGGCGAGAAGACGGTGAATGTTCACAAAAAGAACGTTGGGTTGTATGGACAGTGGCTGGACACATGGCGACCAACAGAAGACAATAAAGAGATTGCGATTATATTGGAGGACGATATGACGGTCAGTCCATACTTCTATAAATGGCTCCGAGCTGCGCATGCGCACTATGATACAAGGGCTGATGTGAGCGGTTATGCTCTTGCTAACGTTTATCAACTAGCAGCAGCGCCAGGTGGCATTGTCGTTCCTCTCAATTACACAGCATATATGTATACCGTCCTTGGATCATGGGGATTTTCACCCCACAGGAACAGGTGGCAAGAATTCCTTGTGTGGTATGATTCAGCGTCTACCAACGCATCCTTTAACCCATACGTGGAAGGCATTCGTCACACGGAATGGTATAAATCGTTTCAGAAGACTAACTCCGAAGGATCGATGTGGGAAATGTGGCATATTTATTTCAGCCATATACACAAGTTATATTGCGTATTCCCAAATTTACCCGATCGTTACATGTTCGGCCGAAACCACCAAGAGCCAGGACTACACTATTCAGGCAACGTTAAAGTCGATCAACTTGACAAACTTGTTTCAAAATCTAACTGGAACCCCGATATTTTGAAAATGCCCAAGAATGCAATCAAAGTAGATTATTATGGTCGCATATCATTCGGATAATCACACCCTTACATTTTGCCGTTTGAGAAACTATTTTTCCGCTTCTAACCTCCTATTCCATGATTCAATTTTAAGGTTATATTATGTCGGGGGATAGGTATGGAGCAACACCTTCCCTAAGGATTCTCTCTAACTCTTCAATCCCCCGAAGCAAAAATAACCTCATTTGAGTATGACAGTTCACTTACCGATGGTTCAACCACTGGATTATTGTCAGTTAAAAGCAATTGTATTCATCACGTTTATGATGATTTTCTATGTTAAAATAAAGCCACGTTTCTGGTATAACGATAGCAGAAAATTTAAGTGGTTAAAACTGTATATGGTGGCTTTAAATACTATATTTTATTTCATCGCTTGGACGTGCGTATGCAGAAGTACCCTTTCGGAAAGCATCGGACGGATTCGGAAGCTGTTGACGTTCCTAATCGCAAGAATTGACAGATTACCCGATTCAAAAGGCTGCGTTTAGTGGATTCCACTTGGTGAAATCGATAAAATAATATATAATTTATGAAGCTGTAGTGTTCTGGGTACTTGCGCTCTTTGATAGGCAAAAGTTAAGAGAAACACAACTAAGTAGGTTTGTTGTTTGCTATATAATATGATGGCGTAATTTTATTATAAATTATATAATATTACATAACAATACTTTTGCCGATAGGGCTAACAACCAAGGGCGGTGGAGGGGAATGGGTGGCTTGAAATTTAAATGTGTAATAAAAAGTTTAATAAATATCGTATAGAGAATACAAATATAATGTAATGTCATGCAAGAAGAATATCTTCGATGCTGTTTGTATTCACAAATAAATGTAACGAATGAAGATGGTATAACCGGTGGTACCAAATAACTGACGTTTAAAACCTAGAAGTCACACGATTGGTCAGAATTAATGACTGGTGTCCGACGACAATAACACGTCGTCCCCTCAAACTCACTTCACAAAACTTTTAATTGCATTAAATTTAATCTATGACGCTGTAGTGTTCTGGGTACTTGCGCTCTTTGATAGGCAAAAGTTAAGAGAAACACAACTAAGTAGGTTTGTTGTTGGCTATACAATATGATGACGTAATTTTATTATAAATTACATAATGTTACATAACAATACTTTTGCCGATAGGGCTAACAACCGCCAATAGCTGACTACGGCAGCTAGCCCATTAAATTTAATATGTTTTATTTTCGGATATTTGGTTAAAAATGTGCATAATAATACAGTATTTCCATTCAGTATTGTAATTTTTATACTATATGAAGGAAAAATATAATCAGCATAATATACCATATTATATAGAAATTAATATTATATCATTAGAAATAAGTGAGATCCAAATGTATTATTTGTACATATACAAATTTCCCAAATCCAATTATCTCAATAAGAAAATGTAGCAGGATGTATTTTTCCCGGTGAAATACTCTTTAGAATTATTTGCGCCAATTAATATTTATTCAGCCTTTCCATATTACTATTTGGTCACATTTATTAATCCAAAATGATGATTGCAATATATTTAGAATTATTTCTATTCTGGAAAATATTATTCTCTCGTATTTTCCAATCCAAACATATTACAATGTTTTATTTGGGTTCTCAAAAATATCATACGCGATTATTCTCGTCCAACTTGATGTACAATAAAACTGGTTAGTTACTTATCCAAACAAAACAAAGAATGCACAGCATGGCTGTAAAAAAGGATTAATCGTCATACTAGCCTGCCCATCTCTATTCATTACAAATGCCAAACATCTTTCGTTTTGATTGTTCTAATTCTATTTGAAAAATATTTATAAAAGCACATTTAAGAAAGAAAGGAATTTAACTTGATTTTAATTTATTTATGTTAATAGGTAATTATCTGTTGATCTTCAATATTAATCATAAGTATTTAAACCTAAACAAAAGGTCGAATAAATTTGAATATAAGTAATAGACTCTTTGTGAAATAAGTCAGTATGTCTTCACTATGTGTATATTGCATTTGGTAAACTACCGAATCTTGCACCTTTTGTAATATATTTGGAATGGAAAAAATAACGCCCTCCCCCTCCCTCTCCTTTGCTACCGGTCTGTATCAGATTCCGCTAAATATTAACAGTTCTCAGTCATGACTGGTTTTATGTGGTTGGCGAAGTAAATACGGGAAGTTGTTTGTACCTATGTAAGAGGGGCCTTTAAATGTTTCCTGGTGTAAACGTAATGTGAAAAAGAAACAGTGGAGTAACAATATGAGGAAAATCCCTTGATTATAAACTAGAAAATTAACTTTCGATTAAATCCGAAATTTAACACAATGTGTTTAATAGCGCGAATGGCATTTTACAATAAAATAAATATGAAAAACTTAATTTGCAAATAACATTTTGGTGAAAATTAGAACCATTGACTGTAGGAAATTAATCCATTAACTCTAACGAACAGATTAGTTATCATTGTTAACGAAACTCATTTCATAGAAATTGAATAATTGGGGTTTAAAGTTCTACTTACTATATTGCTCTGATACATCAATATGTTATTTACATTAGTTTGCTCTACCATTCATCAATTTGCTCAAAGCATTTAAAGTGTAAAAAATACCTAGGGTCACAATGGATAATTTTGACCCCAAATCACATAGCAGTGCTCAGTTTGGTGAAAACCTGTATGATTTTGAAAGAAATTTGGCAAGGGGAGGGGTATTAACTCGAACTCGATGTGAGGAGGCCTTTAGACTATGTTTGAAAGGAAGGATTGGGAGGCTCATACTGCAGTTTTCTAAAAACTTGTACCATTAAAAGTTAAATAAAAAAATACCTCCCTGTCGGTATTTATTTATTTATTTTTTTATTTTGAATTACACTTTTATAGCAGTGGCATACTAATATTAGGTGCACCTAAGTCAAATATCCATTAAAAATGATTAAATCTTTAGTTAAAACTCTTTTTGATCATCTTTTGAATTAGTCTAGAATAGGTATGTATAAAATCAAATGACATCTTACATTTTGACGAGCACCTTAAGCATGGTTATCAAATGAAAGGTAAAGGGTTTCTATATTGATACTGAGATTTGCCAAGATGAAAAAGGTGTCGAAGTGACTTTTTGGGTAAAAATGTGTTTTTTGCAAAAAAAGTTAAATTAATAAAAAATATTTTTGAAAACTGATTATATAAAATACAGTCTAGTTGACTCTCAAATGTCAAAATATACCATGTTTAATCAACTTAGGGGGGGGGGGGGGGTTGGGACCTTGATAGTTTTTTCTTTGGGATTTGCATGCAATATCGACTAGAACGATTGCGTTCAAAATATGATGACACATTTTGACGAGCAAAAGTAAAGGGTTCCTTTATTGATACTGAGATTGCCAAGATGAAATAGGTGTCAAAATGAGTTTTTGGGTAAAAATGCGTTTTTGCAACAACAAAAAATAAATTGATAAAAAAATATTTTTGAAAGTTTATTTTATAAAATACAGTGTAGGAGACTCTCAAAAGTCAAAATATACCATGTTTAATCAACTAGGGGGATTTTGGGAGCTTAATAATCTTTTCTTTGTGATTTGCATGCAATATCGACTAAAACGAGTGTGTTCAAAACATGATGACACCATTAACATATTTTGACGAGCAGCTTGATCATGGTATATAATTGAAAGGTAAAGGGTCCCTTTGTTGATACTGAGATTTGCCAAGATGAAATAGGTGTCGGAGTAAGTTTTTGGGTAAAAAATGTGTTTTTTGAAAAATATAATTTTATGTTAAAAAGAACATTTTTAGAAAAAATATTATATGAAATACAGATATGAATATTTTAATGTATCCTCTATTACAAGAAGATACGTGGTCGATGAAATTTCTAAAAATTGATCATAATTGGAAATCCTTTGATACAAAATTATCTTTAAAATACTTCTCTCATTCAGACTCTCAATCAAATTATCACTAGCACTGAAAGCATCACCCTTAACAATCTTAATTGTTGATTCAAATAGTATTTCCTTATCCTATTCATATAGTATATAGTATTCGATCTGTTATCATATTTGCACCCAGCAGTACATTTGATCCTAGACACTTGGCTCATTGGCACTGACCAATAAGCTTTGCATTCCATTGTGCAGTGTATGTTTGGTATGAATGTAGAACTCATGATTAGTACAAGTACATTTGACATATATTTTAATCTGATTTTCACCTTCATTTTCTATTTCATAATTATTCTCATTTATTTATTGACTGTAATTTCATTGGTACCATCCATTTTAAATATCAAGCATGTTACGAAAACTCTATGTTACAGTCTTAGCACACAAGTCAAGATCAAGACCAAGTATCTCTTAGCTTTGTCCTTGCTAATTGCACTGTTGTGTGTCTAGCTCAGGCTATGTGTGAGAATATGTTTACTTAAGTAGAGGGGGAGGGTCACAGAGGCTTGAAGCTAGACTATTAAGACATAATACAACGTGACTTGATTATGGGTTACTTATAGTATAATACAATAACCATTTGGTATATCAAATAAGCAGCCATGTACTTTTATGTGATAACAGACTTATAAATGGATGGATTTTTCAATACACTGGCACATGCACATGTCCAGCATGAAACAATTGACACATTGACCACAGCTGTTTTGGCATTTATGTGGTGATCAACACTGGTTGTATTGATTGAACTAGTTAAGAAATGAGGAATGCTATACTAATTAATCGTCTAATTAGTGCCTTTCGACACCTCGTTCACTTTGGCAAATCTCACAAATCGTTTGTAAGACATAAAGGATTATTTTGATACAGGTCTCTAGGGTGCTCGCCAAAATGTAAGAACTCTCTCTTTCTAGAGGCTTTTATTTTGAAAATATTCTTGACTAAATGGTAAAAATTTAATTTGAAAAGATGAATCATCCCTGAAAATTTGAAATTGATCTACCAAACGGTTCACCTGGAAATGCGTAGACAAGACTTTACAGACAAGATTTTAGCACGGAAAATCCAAAATGGCTGCCTTGACATTTACCCAGAATGCCAAAAAACTAATCAGCAGTAATCAGATCTAGATTTTCATACTAAGAATCATCCCTGAACATTTGAAATTGATCTACGGTTCACCTGAAAATGCGTAGACAAGACTTTACAGACAAGATTTTAGGATGGAAAAATCAAAAATGGCCGACAATAAAAAAGTGATTATGATTTTTTGCTGATTTCTTTTTACAAAATTATCACATATAACTACTGGTAACAATAACATGAGCTTTTACAACAAAGTTCACCTGAAAGTATTCATAAAGCTACTAAATAGTTAAAGTATGAAAACTCAGAAACACCATTCAATATGATACAAAGTATTATCGTGCGCTAACTATTCTTAAAACATTCAAAATGGCTGACATGACTGAACTAACAGGTCCAAAACCTTTCCAAAATCAGATGTAGAATGAAGTGAGCTGAACAAGATGTTAAAGTTTTAAAAGCAATTGTGAAGCCGTTTTTCTTAAAGTTTGCAGACAAGGATTTTAGCACGTGACTTCAAAATGGCCGACAGGAAGTAGGTATCGAGTTTTTTTTTGTTTTTTTTGGAGAAAACTGCCGGACGTACGGACGGACAGACAGATGGACAGACAGACGGACGCGCCTAGGCCGACAATATGGCACCACACTACCACATTTGTGTGGGCTTTCAAATAGATTGAAAGCCCATGATTCTACGGAATGACTTTTATTTCATTTTGTATCTTAATACAGACATCACTCTTAACTTATTATTAAGGGTATAAAAGCGAAAAATGTTAGATTAATCTTATCATCCAAAAGCGATATACTGTATAGCATCACTTCTGCTGAACGATTTATATGTTTACTTGTGTTTGTATTTTAATAACTGGTGTTTAGAGTGTACTGAATTTGTATTATTTATGGCTAAAAACATTTTTATTGTAGTTATCTTATTATTTAGAAGTGAAACATATGACACTATTCCCTAATAATTATTTATTATTTTATTGATGATTATAAATCTTACAGACTTTTCTAATATATAAAACTAAATTATGAAAATCCAATAAAAAGTATTCACACGCTTCCTATTCATTTCAACACACACTATATGAGCCAGGCCACGGGAAAAGGGATCTTATCACAGATTTTTTCAATATTCTGATTTTTTGTTTATCTTAGAAAGCACAAAGAGACCTTTCAAATGAGCCATGGCTTATGTCTTAACATTTTTTCCTGGCATATATAGACCAAAAAGTCGCATTTGAATTTAGCACATTTTCCTCTTAATCTTGGGCACATTTTTGGCTCTGTAGCACAATTCTAATTTTTATGATAAGACCGGTTTTCCTATTGCCAGGCCCATATAATATTGTTGTTGCTTTTACTAGGTGGCGACTGGGTGTCTTCCAATTTTTCTTTTTGATTTATAACATATCCTAATTTGGATTAATTCGTAGTTATACTTCAAACTTACATCAACACTAGTCTTGGAAATAAGTCTCATTTTCTGGAAAATTAAAATTCTTAAGAAATCCTAATCTAGTAAACAGTAAGATAAAATCCATATATTTAGAAAGGATATAGGGATAAGAAGAATGCAAATTGATTTTGTTGACAAAAAGCTCAATCAATTTTCTTTATTATTTCAGTTCAATCCACAACAATTCAGAAAGTGGTAAAATGATTATTTGTGAAAATGTTCAAGATAAAATTATGTATGTCTATTTAATTTTTGCTTGTCATGGTCATGATCTATATACTGTGTGTGTCAAATTTTAACTGCTTGGGAAATGACTTCTAAAATACCATATTTTTCATACAACACAACATGTGCCCTTCAAATGGTCTCAACACGATTTCTATCAATCAAAACATACGTTGATATCTCCAGGCGAAGCTAGACATGTCTTCCTAGGATAATATAGCTTAACTGATCATAGCTTTTTTTCAAAATTGGCACAGTATGTCCCAAAAACTATTACTTAAGCCAGATATGACTGCCAAATGCAGTTGATTGTTTAGGTTGGTGGGCCAAAGTGTTTGGGCGAAACTTTCAACTGCAACAGGATGAAGCTCATGCGCATAATAGCTGCATTATGCAGGATTTCCCCAAGGCAGGCAATGTGGACCAGCTACCATAGACACCAAAGTCACCTGATCAGGCTGCTGCAGTACACAGTTGGGATGAGACTAATAGTGGAATTCGTGACACGGATCCCCTCAAAATTTAGCAGAGTTATATACTCCTCTGATTGAGTAGGGGGGCTTTATTTCGCGTAGACAGGTTATACATCTCATTGACAGCAGGCCCCGCGGGATGGAAGCTCTGATTGCAGCACTCGTTCCGATAAGCTTCCCGTATAAAAACAATATGGCGGTTCCAGGCGAGTTAATTGGAAAAGTCCATTTTAAAGGGGAATTTGTAAAATACAGTTTATTGAAATTGTCTTGGAGATAAAGTAATTCATTTATAATGATTCTGAAAACATTATTGAGAGAGTGATTGTTCAAAGAATGCATGTACAAGAGTAAATATAAAATCCTTGTATAAGAACTGTTTTGTTTCATTTGGAGGATATTTCATATGCCAAGCTGTGTACTATACGTTATGGGGAAATTTATATATCAGTTGTTCCTTATTATACACAAATAGAACATCCTGAAATTTCACCCATAAATTTGAAATTGATTTGTCAAAATAAAAATCTCCCTTTTATAAGTGTGTGACGATCTATACTATACTAATGCTATAACAGTGAGACGTCGACCTCGAGCTGTGAACCCCTCGGTGTAATTCCGGGATCGGGCCTTTTATACTAAACGGTGAGCAATACCAGAAAAGAGCGTTCGATTTGCTAAACGATATGCGTCACCCTCTAACATTTAAATCTGGATCGGGGTGTTTTTAAAATGCAATTTTTTTAAACTACCCCATTTTAAACGACAGCAAATTTCTTAACTTAAATGTACATATCTTTACCTAAAAGTAGATATGTGTTTATGATTTGCCTAGAAAATAAATTGCATAAACGACTCCAAATAAATGTTATCATCATCCAAAACTATGATTTTTCGAGTATATATGATTTTAGAGGGATAATATAATTTTATTTCCCAGGGGAAACAGTAGTATTATGGAATAAATTTACTATACAGATTAATTTTAAATGCAGAATATGGCAACAACAACAACCTTTTATTTTGCATAAATTATATTTTGTTATTACTAGTTTACAAGATATTGAATTGCATACATTAATGTAGTACCGACCTTGAGGAAGATACGTTGATTCGCAATTTTCTTTTTAATTTTAGAGAAGTTACAGTTCTATAAATGTCTTGTAACATTTTTTGTTAATCTCAAGAGTGTTGGGTACCAGGCCTTTCTAGGTTGGCGGTGTGCGTCTACGCGGTAGCTAGACGTCGTCGTCAGTCAAAAAATGAGTGTTTGTAAATAGTGTCTTTTGTCCAATTGCAATAGATACAACACCTATCTTTGTCGGCGGCGTGCGTCTACGCGGTACCTAGGCGTCGTCGTCGTCAGTGTTTGAGTGTTTGTTTGTAAATAGTGATTTTTCCAATTTTACATTTACATATTATGTATACATGTATTTATTTATATAAAGGGCAATAAACATAAACATACATACACGTAACATTTTTAGAACAAAATTAGCTTTATTTATCGAATGACATGTATATAATGATTCTGGTATAACGAAATGTGGTACTACTAGGACGTTACTGATCACCAGATACCATGTAACTTAAATCCTCTATCCGACTATCGTTGAGTTATTTTTCTTACATTTTTCCAGTCACAAGTATTGGATTTATCGAGGAACCAGTGTCCGAACTCTTTAGCTGTTGCAATTTTCACTTCCCTTTCAATTATCCAGTTGTTGTTCAAAACAACAGGTGGCGGCCCGTGTGAATTACCAGTAGTATGGAGCTGGAGGTACCACAGCCCATCTTCAATAATGTTAGAGTCCAATAATTTGTATCTGAGATTGTGATGTGAAACAATAACATCATGAAGATATGTTTGATAATTGAAGTCGGGTGAGATATTGTCATCACCTGCAATATAATGTCCATTCAAAAAGTTGTCTTTTACGCACTCGAATACATCTCGCGACGCAATGGTTGGCCGTGCAAAAATAAAGCCTGGAGCTATGTAGCGAGTCCTTGTAGAAAGCTGGGCCCCGACTAGATCATAATGGAATAGTGATCGAAACAGAGGGAAAGGAGATGAGAACCACACAGCATCGACCTCGAACAGAAGGATATGTACGTTATTTCTGAGCAATGAATGTGCTAACAAAGCCCTATTGAACAATTTCCAAACATATTTTGCATGTTCGGTCACATCAGTCGTTGCAATAGTGTGAAAAACGGAGGTGACGTTTGGCCAATCTCGTCGCAGTTTCTTCAATGTCATTTCCTCCGTGGCAATAATAAGCACTTGTTCATGAACATTCATATTGACAGTGTTACATAACCAACTGTAGGTCATTTCTAGATACGCTTCATTCACCAACGTCACGGCTACAATGCCATTATCAGTTTTATTTGCGATAATTCTAGCATTTCTGATGACCTCCGTTGATTTATCTTGATTGTCGCGTTTAACATGCCTAATGTCCCCTTCATTAACATTTGACAACATGTTCACATCAAAAGGATTTTTTTCCTTGTGATGATTCCCCTGCAGTATATTGCAAATCAAAACTCCAATTATTATTCCGCCCAGAATGAGGCCCAACTTTTTTTTATATGTCATTTCAAAAACTCTGGAAAAGCAATTGATCAATTATTGATACTTAATAAAATTTTACATCGGTTTCAGAATAATAAATATGCATACGGCTTGTTTTCTTGAAAAAGAAAATTACCTTATTTCTTTAGAATAACTTATCTATCGTGAAATATTTTCAATGAATGTGTAAGACATTATTACCAGCCTAACTATTTGTCTACTCGACTAGAAACAAAGATCGCGTAAGACATATTCAAGTTGACTGCATCAATTAGAAAAACAATAATTGTGTATCTAGGGACTAAATAGATCGGATGTGTGTCCTTGGACCTTTAGGAATATCGCATTTCAGAAATTAGTAATCAAAAACAAAATATATGCAAAAGTCAGGCTTGTACTGTATGCCCAGTCGTCTTACAAAAAAACATTATTCTGCATGATACATAATCCCTCATACTTTACACAACACGCAAAATGATCTTTCATTTATAAAAAAAAAGAAAACACTAGGCATACGTACCGATTTTTGTGAGTCTGTCGGATTATGGCGTTTCGTGCAATATATCGTCAATTAACTCATCTAAATACAAGTCGGGTCTTCACCTGGTACATAGATATATCATCTGGTCTAAGATATTTGTTGCAAGATACGCGAACATAGAAAGTTCATGTGATACACTCTTCTGCAAAAGCTAGGCAATTCTCGAAATCACTGGTGTACGCGTTAAATGCTCGAAAACCTTTTTAAGATTGAAACATTTTTGTTTAACCATTGTTTATTTAATGAGAAAAACAATTCTATAAAAATGCATCCCTAAATATAGATTTATCATTATTTTACTTTTAATCAGTTGTAAATTGAGTATGATAAATTGTTTAAAATTATAACTCTGAATATTTGGGAAATAACTCTTTACTTATTTTTCGAACAGAAAATCAAGTTATTTAACTTATGAGCACGTGCGCCATAATTTGGTTTCTAAATGAAAGTGAAATTTGTTAATTAATTCATTTTGTTTAGAAACGTTAGAGTCAATTCACTTGTCTCACACAATTTTTCCTAAAAAGTGGATTGCTTGATTCACTATTTTTCATTGGTTTACAAAGAATTTCGATCGATATTAATCTATACTAAAGGGGACAAGTTATGAATCGGAGATTGAGTAAATCTAGATTTTAAAATTCAAATACGAAGGTGCTTATTTAAATCACCAGTTCAACATAACTTAGGGTTGTATACGACTTATAATTACGTGTAAATATGAAAAGTAGACTACAATGCAGTAGAAAAATTCCATTGAGTATCAAACCTCGCAGAACAAAACATATTTTATCAAATATCTCGTTATTATGAACAAGTCGCACTATACAAGTAGGACGTAAAGACTAGTTTAAGGTTGCGTAATTGCGAGCTTGACTACTGTATATTTCAATGGGGCTTCACAAACATCTCCATATCTTTTCTTTTTTTTGTAAAGAACAAAAACAAAAATATATTTTGAGTTCACGTTGTCTTCAGATAACATTTAAATCAAACACTAGCAATCTAGCAATGATGCATTAGAATTTTTCTGACTTGACATTCTGTATCACCATACACAAATGAATAAACACAAGGAACACACGCGACTCGAACTCCCCTACCGGCCCCTACTCGCCTAGTTCGAACGTGCTGGCGCTGAAGCCCTCTCGGCCAACTCGACAACCCCCAAAAATGTTGTTTTGTTAGTCGATCTGAATAGAGGAAGCAGATGTTAACGCTCGAACACACCAGAGGAAGCACAACATACATTTTCTACACACACACACACACACACATACACACACACACACACTGCTCAACTGTCCTTAAGAACCCAGAGCGGATTAATACCTCTGCAACTGAAAGCTCAGACAGTGATCATAAACAACATATGTACATCGATATTGACGTTAAAATTTTACCCCCATATTTCAAGTTCATAGTCCAGCAATGATATCTCCCTCAACCCTATGGGAACAAAGCAACCTTCAGTCAACGCCCAACTCCGCGGCAGATCTTTCTAAATCAAGATAATCTTAGCAATCGACATAGACGTTTGAGCAGCTTTTGGCAGTTCCTGTACACCCTATATAGTACAAACAAAAAGTGGAGAATTCTTCAATTTCTTCTAAATGTCCTTTGATGCATACATTTTATGATGTATGGTGACATACTTGATGCTTAAGCTTAGTCATTGGCCAATGGTGTATGTCCCCATATCAAATCAAAGTACCCTTGCTGAAATCCTCATTTTCTCAGAAAAACTCGAGATTCATGTCGGAATGTTGCTAGAATCCGTTTTCAATAGTTAGAATAGGGTATTTCAAATAGGACATTAAAGGCCCTTTCTTTTTGACATTTTTGTTTTGCTAATGGCAGCTCTCTGTCTGGGTCTGAATGAATGAATGAGGAAACGATACTCGTATACTTTTTACATTCAAGTCAAAATGATTACTTATGCTTCCAAATGATTAAAGAACATGTTTATCATCTGCAATGAAAATTATAATTTTACGCAATATTTTTACGCAGTAAAATATTTTTGTAAATCTTAATAACGCAGTGTCAACTATATTGCTTAACTGACGACAAGAATTCGTCAGTGTAACATCTAAATCTTTAAGTGACACACCAACATTGTATATATAACTAGACATGTAAATTGAACAAGTTCAATTTTAGACTCCAGATTTCAGACTTTTTTTAAGCTGAGTCATCCAAATACTTGTAAGCTGAGTCATTCAGAATAAGCTGAGTCAGCTAGAATATAGACATTTAGACAACTCTTAAGAATGTTATCTTCGACTCCATTGGCTTAACATGGGGATATCATCATATCGACTTTTCGAGACTTCAAACCGCTATTACTATCTAATCAGAAGTTGGATCGAAATTTGGTTTAAAGATTCTGATTCCTGAGGAAATTGTACCCTTAATTCATAACTCATACGTTAAATTTGGAGAACTTTTTATTTTGACCTACTTTTCAGACACCATATCTCAAAAGTGGGTCAAAATACTTTCTGACGGCAAAAGGCTAACACTATTAGCACACTCTTTGCTACCTGTATACAAAATTTCGAAGCAAATCATTGAAGTGTAATGTCAGAATCGCAAAAATAAAGAAAAACTATGAATTTGACCTAGATTTTGACCTAGGCATTTTGGCACCAAATTTTAAAGCTAGATAGCCTTCGAGGTCCCCTTCTTTTATAGGCTTTCAGAATGTTAAGCTGTTCTCAGTTTATATCTGGTATTTTACACTTCAAAAAATCTTTTTTCTCATTGACATAACATGGGGAACCAAATTTAGCGATTTTTGACCTTTCAAAACGCCATAACTTCGGAACTGAAAGTTAGATTGAAATCTGGTTTGCAGATTCGGATTCCTGGGAAAATTCTACCCTTAATTCATAGCTCATATGTTAAATTTGGAGAACTTTTTATTTTGACCTACTTTTCGGACACCATATCTCAAAAGTGGGTCAAAATACTTTCTGACGGCAAAAGGCTAACACTATTAGCACACTCTTTGCTACCTGTATACAAAATTTTGAAGTAAATTATTAAAGTGTAGTGTCAGAATCGTAAAAATAAGGAAAAACTATGAATTTGACCTAGATTTTGACCTAGGCATTTTGGTGTCCACATTTTGAAGCTATGTAGCTTTTGAGGTCCCCTTCTTTTATAAGCATTCATTATGTTAAGCTGTACTCAGTCTATATCTTGTATTTTACACTTCTTCTTTTTTCCCAGTTAACATAGGCACCAAATTTAGCGATTTTTGAGTTTTCAAAACGCCATAACTTCCGAACCGGAAGTCCGATACAAATTTGGTTTGCAGTTTCAGATTCCTGAGATCATTCTTCTAGGTACTTGAGTTATCGTCCGGACAGTTGGACGGACGAATATCTTATTTATATCCCTCAATACGCTCGGTGTGATTATTACTCTCAGAAGTTATTGAGAATAAATTATTTAATAGATAAGATGCATAAACTCCTGACGAAGATATCATAATTAATTGAAAATACTCAAGCGCTCTTGAACAGGTGTGTTCCAGGGTGAAGCTTTTTATCAAAACTAATCAATTGTTGTTGAAGAAGTTAAGGGAAAATGCGTAAGAGATGAGTACTCTTTTCTCTATAACAGAACATATTTATTTATTTTAACAAATAAATCGCTTTACTGATTGATCTGTATGAACCTGGTTCGATGCAATTTTCAAACCATACATGTACATTGTTGTTCACATGTGTCAACACACTGGCGGATCTCAGATCACAAAAGGAGGGGGGCAGCCAGATATAATGGACCCAAAAATCTGGGCCTTTTGAGGTCTCATTTTTTAATTCTAGGCAAAACATTTTCGCGAATTTTTTCAGATTTGAACTGTGGCCCCTTAATAAATAATGAAAATAGTTAATTATATCATACATTTTGATTTGGTAACATGGTCCTTGACACAGCACATATAATATATGACGTCACATTTTACATTATTTAGAAATCTTTACTCCTGAGCATATCCTGTCATATTATGTGTAATGGTAGGTTTGTCAAGCCAAATGACCGAATATCAGTCCTTCCGAGTTGTTGCAAAAATACAAGTTAAGTAGCGATTCAGTTGATGTTACTTCAGGTTCAACAAAGTTGTAGGTCTCCACCATGCATGGATGAGTTGTCCACGGGATGAGATGTTCAGGGGATGAGTTGTCCAGAGGATGAGTTGTCTAGGGGATGACTTGTCCAGGGCATGAGTAACCCAGGGGATGAGTTGTCCAGAGGATGAGATGTCTAGGGGATGAGTTGTCCGTAAGCCATATATTTGGATATCGCCGATTATTGTTATTCCAATTGTAACAATCAAATGAACCAATCAGATAATATAAACTTTATTTTTATGTTGTTTTGGGAACGTCTGGACCAAGTTTCAAGATAATTGGTCAAGCGACGTTGAAATGGCAACACCACTGACGCTACTTCTGGATCGACCTGTACCATGGTCAAGAG